CCATTACTACTAGTAGCAAGGACACTACTAGGTTGGAGGCCATCGCTGTTAGGTTGGAGACCATTAGTTGGAGGCCATCGCTATTAGGTTGGAGGCCATTACTACTAGTAGCAAGGACACTACTAGGTTGGAGGCCATCGCTATTAGGTTGGAGGCAATTGCTACTAGTAGCAAGGACACTACTAGTTACTAGTTAATATCATCCGCGCGCTTGTCATGAACACAATTCTATTGTTTGGCTTCACGAGTCGGCGAACAAAGCCAGGTGCTGGATCTGTGGAGTAATCGAGAGGCCATTTATCGCAAGTCTTAGACTTACAGCCTAAGATTGGCAGAATTTCCTATGATCTGGAGATGATTCTTGATACTTTTTGGCCATACCAAGGATTCTGGCAGGGGGTTGAGCAACGTCTGCTGCAAGGCAGTGTTTGAGCGACAGTAGTTTCTTCCTACGGGGCGCTGCTAAGAAGGCCTTTTCAATGCAAAAAGGAGTGCACTTCTAACACTCACTGTTTTACTCCTTCTTTTTGTCCTCTGACTTGCCAGCATTGAGTGGGTGATAGTGTACGTAGGCTCCTGCAAAGCAGGGCGGGTTTGTTGACTTGGCTTGTGCTGCAAGCTGTGCAACTTTTTAGCTCTTGGCGTTTGAAATGCCTCCCAGAAAATGACCCTATCAAGGCCTTGTTCTGCCTTTTCGTGTCAAGATTGTAAGTGATTGTAAGTGGCATTGTTGAAGGAGAAAGCACAGAAGAGTTGGATAATTCGCCAGATGATTCGAAAGTTAAACCCAGAAAGGCCCTGACCTTGCACTTGGCTCAAAGTGCCTGTTTATGCCCTCATATGCCTTGCATAGCCCAGCTGCTTCAAGAGCAACGGGTGCAGCTCGGTATGTGCTGAAGCCTGTGATGACAGGTGGTTTTGAAAAAGCGTCCAATGACAGCCGTCGGCCTCATCAAACATGCAGCATTAGGTGCTTGTGCAAGTGTACAGGGTGAATTGTGATTCTTCTGACATCCCTGCGTCAGGTAAGCAGCAGCAACAAATGCCACGGATCGTGGTGCAGCTCTACACTTACCAGGCCGTTAGTAAGTTTGGACGCATGTTTGCAGTGTTTGGCTTGGATGCAACTGCTTCAGTCCAACAGTGTAAGTGTAACTGTAGTGGATAATTTTGTGAACGCATACCTTTGTAAGTATTCTGGATAGGTGGTGTTTGTTTTCTCAGCCAAAGATTCTATTGTTACCCTGACAGATGCAGTTCAGTTCCGTTCGTGGGAGCGAGGGTCGAAGTTTCTCAGGCTTGCCGAGCTTTAGCACATCTCCATGCCAGTGGGGTGGTTCACCGAGACATCAAGTGCGGAGCCCACCAGGATTCGAAACGACCGCCAAGTTGGACTGCTCGTGGTTTCATTCCAGACAGTGGTGTTTATGAGTGGTTGTGAAAGATAGGCCCTAAAAAAGAAGCTAGAGCCCTGTGGTGGTTCCGTGGATGTTTGCGAGTTTCAAGGCCGCAAAACCTGCTGGTAGATGCATCTCGTGGCCACCTGCTCAAGCTTTGTGTCAGACTCAGGAGGTACGAATGTTTAACCTAGCCACCAGTCACCTAGTCTTACCATGAAATGTTCTTCACTTCCAATATGATGTGGGGATTTTGTTGGACCCCGGACTGTGTTCAAGTCGCGTTTGGAGAGACGATGGATGCAGTTGGATGGAAGGCGTGCTTGCAGTGCTTTTCTTCCTCTCTTCCCCCCCTCGCCAGTCTGTGTCTCTCTCTCTCTCTCTCAGGCGACTTTGGCTCGGCTGTGCGTCTCAGCCAGGGTCGGCCAGCTTTGGCTTGAGCCTCGGTCGCCAACACAGCTGACATTTGGAGCTGAAAGAGCTGAAAGGCTTGGAATTCGAGCTGGTGAAACTGAAGAGACAATCAAGACAAGTCCATCATCAGACAACAATCAAGTCCCTTCACAAAACTTCACAGTGACCAGTGATGCTCCTCTTCAAGCCCCTCCTCGCTGAGAGTGCCCTCTCATCAGGTGGCCTATATTTGCTCTCGCTACTATAGGGCGCCAGAGTTGATCTTTGGAGCCACCAACTAGTCGGCCTGCCGTGCTTTCGGTCACCAATGGTGGGACAGGTTTGTTTGAACTGATGTCATTGATGCATAGTGGTGTAAGTATGACATCAGCAAAGAAGCCAGGGCTCACCTTTGGATCTCATGTGCTTGCACATGTACATTTCCAAGAGCCTGCAAAACGTGACAATGCTCAATGGATTTGCCCTGCAGTACCACCGCCGTGGATTTGTGGTCCATTGGCTGCGTCCTGGCGGAGATGCTGAGAGGACTGCCCAAAATGGAAGGTAGACTCAGAGGCCATGTTGACTGGTGCACAATAATTGTGTTTGCATTGTGCCGTTTTTTGGAAGAGGCTCCCGAACCGCTTCTGCTCCTACTTGAGACGAAGACCAATAAACTGCCAACTATTTCCAACTGCTTGCCTCGATGAAGTCTTTCAGCCTATGAATTGCATCAAGGATTTGATCAAGCAGAGTTTGAGATCCAACCAGATTCGCCTATTTGCCAGATTTGTCGATGAAGTTAGGACGCCCTCTCTTCCCCGGAGAGAATGGTGTGGACCAATTGGTAGAAATCGTGAAGGCCAGAACGTTGGATTTGGAGTCTGGTTAGAGCCAATTCATAGAGCAATCCAACGCAAGAGCTGTAAGAGTGACATAGTTCTGTGTGCAAACGACAGCAGACATTGAAAAGCAGTTCCTCACAGGAACTGGCTTGTGTTGCCTTGGCAGCTACAGAGTTGTTTGTCTTGCCCGCAATCTGTTCAAACCGGATGAACCGCTGTGGTTTGCTTGGATCATTGCAGGTACTGGGCTCACCCTCACGTCGACAGGTCCTGGCCATGAACCCACAGTGACCCAGGAACTGGAACGCAGCGAAACATGTTCCACTAAGTAGATAGAATGATAGAACAAGTAACAGAGAAACGTGAGGTTTTCGGATTTGCGTTTCCCGTTTCCATCTACTCTGGGGTCACAGGGACCTGTGGCACATGATCATAGAATCTTATCCTCAACGCTTTGCTTTTTGGACCAAACAGCCAAACAGCGGAACGGGGCGGAACTGGAGGTATTTCAGCTTTGCCTTTCCAACGGTAGCTCCATGCAGCTGGAGCGTGGCACTGAGACCGTTGACCGTCGTGAGTGAAGGAGAACGACAGAGACATATTCACTAAGCTACAGAGTGAAGCCACACATATTCAACTTCACGGTGGTTTGGTGGTTTTCCCAATGCACTAAACTTAGACTTGGCTTGTTGATGACTTTTCCATGTCATGTAGTTGAAATTGTAGGCGTGAATGCACTGTAGCTGCTTGGAGTTGCCCCTTTAAACCATCGACCTATTTTGGTTGTTGTTGCCAGACCCCCTTGCTCTTCTATTTTGCATATCCTGTGTATCTTGAATGACAGAGAGAGTCGAGAGGGATAGAGAGAGCGAGAGAGCGATAGAGAGAGTGGTAGCTGCATGACAGTATGTGAGTTGGAATGTAGTCTTGCCTTCAGTCGGGAGCACAGATTGACCTCAATGAAATTGAAGTAGTAAGATGAAAGATTGAAAAAGTAGTTTTGCTGTGACTTTGCACTTTCCCAGCAACTTCGCCTAATGATTCAGTCGTGGGCTAGTCAGGAAGGCAGTATGCCACTGTTTCAATGCCTGTTTGTATCTGTCGTGCTGTTTGCCATGCCGATGCCTATATACATAGCATTCATAGCATTATTTGTACAATGCTGACCAGATCATAAATCAAGCCACAAGAATAAGATGTTCTGCTCCATAAACTTCCCATTGCGCGGGGGTCCAACAGCTTTACAGTCCACTGTGCCGCGTATTCCTGACTGCCCAGGCTTTGGCAGCCCAGATGTGTGGATGTGTGTGCATGTATGTCATGGTTACATGCAGACAAGCGGGCCATATTATATAGAGTACCTTTTTTGAGGAAAGGCTCATGGGTTACTTTGCAGCCATGTCGACCCCAAGATACCAAGCGTTCCTTTGTGAGGATTGTTTTGCTCATGCAAATCAACGAATTAGAGTTCATGTCTTTGGCCCAAACTGCAAAAGAACCTCCTAGTAGCTTCTTGTTCCTAGTAGTGAGGCCAGGAGCTACTACTAGCTTCTTGCTCCTAGTTGCGATGCCCTTTGCTACTAGTAGCTTCTTGTTACTATGATTATGATCCTGGACAAAAAGTACACAAAGCTTCATCTGCATCGCTGAATGCGCTTGAAGCTGCTTTTGAGGCACCGTTTTCCGAAAATCTGTGGGACCTGAGCTAGAGCCCAAGCTGGTGAACGGAACCGAGTCTGCCAAGAACCTCTGCTGTGTACTGAACTCCCAGCACGTGTGCCCCAACGACAGACATATTCAAGGGCTCTTTTCTTTTGCCTACGGGAATGTGAAGAAACCTTGCTCATTTGTGGTGCTTCCATTGACTTGATTGCTTCCTCCGAGGTTCACAACACTTCTCAGTGACTTCTTGCAGTGCGCTTTGGAGACGTTGCATAGTTGGGATAGTCAACTGAATCAGATTTGCGCGAATCAGGTACGACCCAGAGACCAGGGTCAAACCATTGGAGGTGCACGTTTTGACCTGGAACTTATATAACAGGGTGGCACCCAGTACTTGGCAATAGACACCGTGGGTTTTCGCGTTTCGACGTTTCCTTCAGGGCCACTTGGGAGAAATCGGACACACACAGACACACGCACATTTGCATGGTATTTGCAGTATTTTGTGCGCTTGAAGAGTTGATACTACGCCGGGCAAGGGTGGGGTGATGTGGGGTGGGGCGGTGTTGACCTTCATGTGAACTTGCAAACACACTTGATGCCCCATTCCATGATCAACTGCCTGAAATTTTACATGAAAGCGCACAAAAAGCAAGCACAACTTCTCCCAATGGTCCTAAGGGAAAACATCAAAAGCACCGCAAATGCCATACGACATGGTGTCCGACAGCGCTATAGTGTGGACCCAGTAGTTGGGGATGACCGCAAAGATATGACCTTTTTGTTTGAATTTTTCTTTCTTAGATTGTTTTATCCCCTTGTGGTTGGGGTTTGGGATTTGGTTCATTGTTTGTTTGCTTTCTGCCGTGGAGAAGGAGTCTTGCTGTTGAATTTGTAGCTGGTGTGGAGTTTCCAGGCTTGTGCCCACAACTGCTTTGATGGCCTGCGGGATGAACGGGCCCGTTGCCCTGATGGTCAACCGCTACCACCGGACGGGATCCAGAGCAATCCAAAGTACAGATGAATGCTCAAGTAAGTTTATTTGCTTTTGAGTTTTTTTCAATCTTTTTGCACCTGCATATCGTTTTGAAACCATTGCCCAAACATTTACAGTAGTTAGATAGAAAAGCATCAAGGATTCAGGCAGTGCCTGTTTGATGCACTCCAAGTGACCAGGACCTGTTCAACCTCACTCAACGAGAGCTGCGCACTTGCTCTGCCAGCCTCCACGATCGCCTCGTTCCAGTGGGGAGCTCTAAAGGAACGATAGACCCTGAACCAGTCTAGCATTGACACTGAGTTGTCTTGTTTTCATCAAAGCGGTTGTCTTAGAGAAAGAAATTCAAACTGCTTTTCTGGATCTTCTTTTTTGACCTCAAGGCCTGGCATGCAGCCAGATGTCCG